TCCGAGTTACTGGTTTTCGCGATACAGAAGTTGGAATTAATGATACACTAGTGACTCCACCGTTAGCAAAACCCATGTCAACAGGAAAATCTCTGGCATCAGGATTGGTTGCCCGCCAGACCGTCATCAAACCTTTTCCAACACCATGTTTTTTCACTGGAGCACTCTCGTTGCAATTCTGATGACCAATGACAGCATGCTCGGTAACCTAATAAAAGTTAAAAGGGTAAGAATATTTGTGGGACCAGTTAAGGACACTTAAGGTAGAAACAAGAGAATCATGAAAGCTGGTGCCAACAAAAGAATTTATCCATTACCTTCCTCCTTTTAGTTTCTCTTTGGTTCTCTTTGCAAGGGGGATGTAAATCTTCGGGATCTAAATGGAAATAACAATGTGAGTGAAACCTTATTAAAATATGTAGTGCAACAACAAAAAAATCTACAAAATAGCATCAAAAAGAACAAAGAGATAAAATTTTCCGAACAGCTACTGCAACACCAATACAAATTAACTCTGTCAAGAAGTTTAGACGCAAACTACCAAAAACATCTAATTCTGAATGGCATTAAACATTACGAAACAACAAAATCTCAGAGAATCAAGTCCTCTCCCTTCACAACTCATATAAAAATCAACAAAGAGAATGTTCTCATCAACACACCAAACCACTCTGAGTGAAAATTCTACAACTGATGTTAGTTTACTTTTTAAACAAACGGAAAAGGAGAATTGATCTCAGATAGACAAAAATGTAGAATAGAAATTATTCATTTTGCCTATGATTTCTCAGACCTGAAAGTTTCTCAGTTCTTACCTGTAGAATGGAAAAGTGCCCGAGAGGGGAGAGAGTCAAATTCCACACCAAGGGGGGGACCATCTTTGCGGAACACCTTCTTGAGAATGTAGTCTGGAGTTAACAATTCCTGAATATGATTCCCATTCATTTTTGTTTGCTTGTATCTCAACAACGAAGGAGCTTTTGAGGGGAAGTGTTTAACTACCCTTGGAGCACCAGCTCCCGATCCATTTCTTCCACCCAACTCCTCGGTGGTTTTATTTTCTCGCTTCTCTCTCCTCCTCTTCTCAACAAACCAACCCCGAACCTGATTGTAAGTCAATCTGAAGGCAGCAGCATGGCATTCCATTGCCGTTCGTGAAGGATACCTATCCTCTGTGAAGAGACAAAAAAAAAGTTGTAAATATTGGGTTTCGCTCTCTTGTGATTAACATGAAAAGTCCGCTACCATTATATGAAATCTATAGCAACAGATGCACGACCAATCCTAAGTGCTTGTATAATTGTATTCTGCAACTATTTCCTTATTGCTTTCTAAAATCAAAACAAACAACGGAACGATTGCAGCTGTCTGTTCCAAGTTTGAGCCAATAATTGCACGTATAAAATGCTGATTTCAATTAAACTGTAAATTGGGTAGCTTAATTCTGAACCCAATAGAGAAACAGAGCAATAATAACAAAAGCTACGTATATCAAACACACACACGCAGAGAGAGAGAGAGAGAGAGAGAGAGGTTACAATAGACGAAGAAGCGTACCTGAGTAGAAGCTCTCAAGGGCTTCAAGCTGTGATTGAGTTTTCCTCTTTATCTTTTCCATCATCTTCTTCTTCCACAAGTACCCAAAATCACAGAAATTTCAAAACCATTTCCAGAAGGAGTTGAAGAACAGAACCCAAAGCAGAAATGGTTGGGGCCTGTTGAGAACGCAGAAGCAAGCTATACAAATTAGCAGAGCGAGACTGTGGGTGGCGATATCAGAGTGAGAGTGGCAGCGTCGAACCCGCAGGGAAATGGAGGTGGGAGAGTGAGCTCTGTAATCTGCATGCTTGTCCTTAGACACCGTCTAATTGTGATGCCAAAGGGGACGAAAAGCAGCAGATAATGAAATGGGAAACTAACCAAGTAGGGTTTTGGGTTTTACCAAAAAAATATCTTCATCAAATTCTCGACGAAAAAAATTAATTAGCGTCAATATTTATATCATCATCTTTTCTTTTTTTTTTGGGTTCACTTTTTGGCTTACAACGAGAAGAGGAAATATTCTGATTGGATAGCTGTAGGGTTTTACATTCGAGGTTTGTGTCACTGGCCCAAAACTTTTTTTTTGGAAGGCCCAATGGTTCCCTATAGTTTATTCGGATTTTCACTTTCGTCCTTATATTTTTTATTTTTTCAGTGTCATCCTTATAGTTTTTTTGTTGTTGTTGAGTGCCTTTGCAAATATGGGCTTAAAATTGAGTTTGGGGACAACTATCCTCCTGTTAGCCCATTTACTATATCATCTTGGATACCTTGTTTGTTCAAGTAGCTTGGCCCAAAGTCGAAGGATTTGGTTTGGTTTGGACTGCTTCTTTGGGAAGCATTTTTGTTGTGGAGTAGTATCTTGATCAATGTTCAGTGAATTTGCTTATTTAGGTAGCATTTTCGTTTGAACTAGTATCTTGATTGATCTATGTTCAGTGAATTTAACAGACTTGGTTTAGGTAATTTAGTTAATGTAGTGTGCCGGCTTTGCACCCGAGTTTGATTCCCCTCCCATTATATGAGTAGTTTAAAATATTTCTTTGTCACCCAAAAAAATTAAATATATTGTTTTGTGAATTTAATGTTGGAACTAACAACATGCCATTATATTGTGGCTTACGTGTATGTCTAGTCTCAACCACTGAATGAGCAGTTATTTTTTATTTTATTTTTTTATAAGCGATAATCTGAATTATTATGATATAATCTAATTTACGGGAAATGATACTCGAACTTGGATGCACTGTCCTAGTCAACTAAACCCACATTTGTAGTAAAAAAACACAATCTCATGGGAAATTTTTCACAACTATATATTTGAATAGAACGTTTTAAAACTACAAAAACAATAACAAAAAACAAAAGGTTGCAAGTGAGAAAATCGAATGTAAACATGTATTTATTTATTTATGTTGTAAAGAGAAAGGAGGACAAAGTTCATATTAAAATTTAAACCGAAACAGATCATTTTGTTATGAGATATCACAATTCACAAGGGAGGATGACAAAATCTCATAACCCTTGACTTGCCCTGAGGTTTACCAGTCCTCTCTGTAACCCTCCCTTTCAAGTTTCAAATCTTGCCACTTTCCCATTCAAGCCGTTTTTGCTGTCCAAGTCAGGTTCATATGGTGGTGGGCATAAAGAAAAAACCAAACCCAATCCATCAGAGATTCATATCTCAATATTTTATTCAAGAACAAGGTTTGTTTCACATTATCATCTATGTAATAATAATATTCAATACTTGGATCACATTCATATGTATGTAGTTAAGTTTGACAAATGCATTCTTTTATGTTCCACTAGGCACTAGATTCTTATTTTTATTTTTTTATATATTATATTGACTTTATGCCTCCTACCTGGTAATTTCCTGTCTAGAAAAAGTTGTCTCCCAACATTTTTTTAATTAATATATTAGGACAACTCTGCTGGTCATAACAAGTGGACTTTGCACGTAAAAACAATGAAGTAGTGCGCACAAATCATCATGATAAATGTGAAAAATGGATGAACAAATTAGAATCGGACAATGGTAACTCCCTTAATATTTCATGGCCACCAAGTCTCCTCCCTGCTCTAAAGTCACGCTAATGGGAAAATTATCAAGGTGAATCTAAAATGGACCCACTTATCTTATCAATGTTCCATGGCCACAAACTTTTATTATAAATAATAATAATAATAATAATCTATTTCGTGGGTACAATTTTTTATTTTCACACCCTTCATTCATATGTAAAATCAGTTGCTTTGCAAACCTAGACTTAGTTAGTTTGGTTACAGCGAATATGCTCTCAACTCTGCACTCGAGTTCGAATCCTCGTCTCCCCGTAATTTAGATTAGTTTAAAGTAGATTATCGCTTGTTTAAACAAATCATTTGGTTTGCTCAAATAAATACCAAAAATACCCTTAATAAAACCAACCTCTCTTCTTTTTTCGACGACCATTGTCATGCAATATTAGCTTGATAATAGGAACGGCAATGAGATGGATCGATGCCAAATATGTCATTACCATCTCCATCTCCACGAAGGAAAGTGAGAATCATTATCCTAAAAATAAAAATGTATTTAAACTAAAAGGGAAGTAGAGACCTTAAGTGAGATAAACAATCCTAAACCTAAATGTATTACGTGGCTATACTACCTTAGTATGAGTTCAATTTTTCTGTTACCATTTTTCATGCGCCCACCCTATTACTATCTAACTTTTTGACACATGTCCTTCCACTTAAACCCAAGTTAATAATGTTAGCTTTTAATTAAATTAAAAAATAAAAAACTAATAATTGAAGGGGGAAAACCCAACAGCGAAGCGCCTCTCCTTCTCCGTCAACAACCCCACCCTACCGGTGCAGCCCCTTCCCTTCTTGCCGTAAAAAAAAGCACCTTCTCTCTCTTCTCCCCCTTTATTTTGGATCTAGATCTATCTTCTTCCCCTGCTCTTCTGGTTTATTCTTTGAAAGAGAGACGTGGATTGAGGACAACGGTATGAAAAAGAAGATAGAGAAAAGAGAAAATGAGGCTTTGTCAACGGCGAGAATGAGAGGGAGTTGCCGCTGACCGGGTAGGGTGGGTGGGAGTTTTGGTGGCTAGTTTGGGGTTGCGCGAATTCGATTTCTAAACCCTAACGCACTCATTGAGTCATCAACGTGGTTGCTGCCTCCGTCTCAAGGCTCAAGACGTTCCGGCTGGATTTTCTTCCTTCAATTATTAGTGTTTTTAATTAAAAGTTAATATTGTTAACTTGGGATTAAGGGGAAATACATGTGTCAAAAAGTTAGATAGGTAACAGGTGGGCACATGAAAAAGTTAGTACTCTATATTTTATCCTCTCAAAATATTGGTTAGTTGATGAATGTGCTAATTAATCTGCTAAAGTGTAAATATCCTCAAATAACTCCAACTTGCGTGGGTTCCGAAAAAGAAAAAAAATACGCGTTGTGCATTTTGCCCCAATTCTTTTTCCAAATCCCTAGTTTTTTAACTACTTGACTGCCTCTCTCTCTCTAACAATCTGAAAGATTCCAAACCCCATCATTTACCAAATTGACTTACCAACCAACCCCAAATCTCTTCTCTGTCACTTGCCGGACTCAAAACCCATTTGCTGCGTTAGCTTATCGGTGTCCTCCTCAGTCTCTCTGTCGGGGGCTTAAGCAGCAAGCTAAGCAAAGCCAAGCAACCGAAGAAGACGTCGAGAAAGAGAGAAGAGAAAAAAGAAAAAAGAAAACGAAGAAGAAGAAGAAAATAAATAATGGGCAAGTGCTGAAACGAATATTTGAAAAAGAAAAAAAAAAGAAAAAGAAGAAGAAAGCTTTTGCCTTTGATATGTGAATATCCTAATCCTACTATACACGCTAAGCTCTTGTGGTGACGGATCATCATCATCATCGCCATCATCATGATTACAAGATTAGAAAATGTCCAACAGCACCAACAACACCAACAGCCACTACCAGCCGCCCACAAAGTAAACGCTTCATCCTGTGATTTATTATTATTATCGTCTCTTCCATGTCAACGTCAGTTGTCTTCACATAGGCACAGCAGCTCCCCCCAACTCAACCTCTCTCTGTCTTTGTTTCTCCGGGTCAATTGCTCAATTGGGTTTTTGCTGCAATCCCCAAAAACCCAATCTTTCTGTACCAGGGTAGTTTGGCTAGCTAGCTAGCTCTCTCACGCATTTATTCAAACACCAGTAGGATTTTGGTAGATTGGTGCTGCTTTTACCAATTGATATGGTTCCAATAGATTGTGATGATGCTGATGGTGATATGTGTTACAGCATGTTGTTGTGTATGATTGAGTGAGAGAGTTAGAGAAAGAGAAAGAGAGAGTCTTCATGTCTTCTTCTCTTGTTCCGATGAAACACGACAAGAAGAAGCAGAAGGTCCCAACAATAATACCAACCTTCCTTCCTCATCTCTTTTTGGGTCAGTGGGTTTTCATTCTTCTTCTTCTTCCTTGCTCTGCTTCTGCTGCTTGTAACCAGCTCGATCAGGACGCTCTATTGTCCTTGGCTCTCCAGGCACCATTGAATTTGAATTGGTCTTCTTCCACTGACTGTTGCCTTTGGGAAGGAATAACCTGCGGCCCAGATGATCAAGGACGTGTCGTCCGGCTATGGCTGCCTAGGAGAGGCTTAACTGGTGTCATCAATCCATCAATCACAAACCTCACCCATCTCACCCACCTCAATCTTTCCCACAATTCTTTCCTGGGTTCTCTTCCTGAAGATTTGTTTTCATCTCTCTCTAGTCTCCAAGTCATTGACTTGAGCTTCAATCGTCTCATTGGCCGTCTACCACCTTCAAATAAAATCAGTCAGCTTCAGGTTCTGAACTTGTCTAGCAATTTCTTCAATGGAACAATCCCATCTTCGATCCTTGTCCCATCGGTGTCCATTTTCAATGTCAGCAACAACAGCTTTTCCGGGTCGATACCCATCGACAATGGTAGCAACCACACATCCCTTACCTTCTTGGACTTGTCCTACAATAAACTCAATGACACAATTCCCCCTGGAATCGGATTATGTTCCAAGCTCCAAGTTTTCCGTGCAGGCTTCAATAGCCTCTCTGGTTCTCTCCCTGATGAAATTTTCAACCTTGCTGATCTCCGACAGCTCTCTCTGCCTGTCAATAGTCTTACAGGACCCATCAACGATGGTATCATGAACCTCACCAATCTCCAGACCCTGGAGCTCTTTTCAAACCAGTTCTCTGGGCCAATCCCAAGCCAAATTGGTAACCTTTCCAGGTTGGAAAATCTGCTGCTCCACGTCAACAACCTCACAGGCCCCTTACCTCTATCTCTCGCCAACAGTACAAAGCTGTCTGCTTTGAATTTGAGGGTCAACAACTTGACTGGAGACCTCTCTTCCTTCAACTTCTCCCCTCTCCAACGCCTCACCACTTTGGACCTTGGCAACAACAACTTCACTGGTGAGTTCCCCAAAAGCCTCTACTCTTGCAAGTCACTAACAGCTATTAGATTGACCGGGAATCAGCTCACAGGACAGATATCACCTGAAATAGTTGCATTAGAATCCTTGGCTTTCCTCTCCATCTCTACCAACAACATGACAAATGCCACTGGGGCTCTTAGGATTCTAAAGGGTTGCAAGAACCTGACCACTCTGATATTGTCCAATAATTTTCTGTTTGAGCCTGTGCCAGATGATAAAAGCCTAGGAGACCTAGATGGATTCCAAAGCCTTCGGGTTTTTGCCCTGGGGGGTTGCCAATTCACAGGTCAAGTACCCACCTGGCTAGCCAAGCTTAAAAACCTTCAAGCCTTGGACCTGTCATTTAATCTTATAACTGGGTCTCTTCCCGGTTGGTTGGCTAGTCTGCCCAACCTTTTCTACATTGATTTGTCCAATAACCTCCTTCAAGGCGGATTTCCTAATGATCTCTGTGGGATGCCAGTTTTGACATCGAAAGAGGCCAGTGATAAGGTGGACAGAAGTTATTTAGAGTTGCCAGTATTTGTGAAGCCCAATAATGCTACTGATCAGCAGTACAACCAACTGTCCAATCTCCCCCCAGCCATATATTTGAGTAACAACAGCCTTAATGGCAGTATCCCCATTGAGATTGGCCGATTGAAGTTTATTCATGTGTTGGACCTTAGTCATAACAAATTCTCTGGCAGCATCCCAGATCAGATTTCTAACCTCACTAACTTAGAGAAATTGGATCTTTCCTATAACAATCTATCTGGTGAAATCCCTGTTTCTCTCAAAGGTCTGCATTTCTTGTCTTCCTTCAGTGTGGCAAACAATGATCTTCAGGGACTTGTACCATCTGGAGGTCAGTTTGATACTTTTACCATCTCCAGCTTTGAAGGGAATCCGGGCTTATGTGGTCCTCCAACTGTGCATCGCACATGTCCTCAACCATTATCACCGGCTGCTTCTCGAAGGTCTAACAAAAATCTTCTTATTGGACTCACCTCTGGGATCTGTTTTGGCATTGTATTTATTGTTGTTATGCTAGTAGTGTGGATGTTGTCTAAGAGAAGGATCATTCCAGGAGGAGATACTGACAAGATGGATTTTGACACAATGTCTAGCCATTCAGCCACTGCTGTTACTCCTGAGCTTGACAAGGATACCAGCCTAGTCATAGTGTTCCCAACCAATACCAATGAAATCAAGGATCTTACCATAACTGAAATCTTAAAGGCAACTGACAATTTCAATCAAGCAAACATCATTGGCTGTGGAGGTTTTGGTCTGGTTTACAGAGCAATATTCGCAAATGGGACCAGGCTAGCTGTTAAGAAACTCTCAGGAGACTTGGGTCTGATGGAAAGGGAATTCAAAGCAGAAGTTGAGGCTTTGTCCACTGCCCAACATGAGAATCTGGTTTCCCTGCAAGGCTATTGTGTGCATGATGGTGTTCGCCTGTTAATATATTCCTATATGGAGAATGGAAGTCTGGATTACTGGTTGCATGAGAAAGCTGATGGTGCTTCCCAGTTAGATTGGCCAACTCGACTGAAGATAGCACAGGGAGCAGGCTGCGGGTTGGCTTACATGCACCAAATATGCGAGCCACACATTGTGCATCGTGATATCAAGTCCAGCAACATCCTCCTGGATGATAAATTTCAAGCACATGTTGCTGATTTTGGGTTGTCCCGGTTGATTCTTCCGTACCAGACTCATGTTACAACTGAGCTTGTTGGTACCCTTGGTTACATTCCTCCAGAGTATGGACAAGCATGGGTGGCCACATTGAGAGGAGATATGTACAGTTTTGGGGTTGTCATGCTTGAGCTGCTAACCGGAAAAAGGCCTTTCGAGGTATGCAAGCCAAGGGCATCGAGAGAGTTGGTTGGCTGGGTGCAGCAAATGAGGAGAGAGGGCAAACCAGAGGAAGTTTTTGATCCTCTCCTGAGAGGGAAGGGCTTTGACGAAGAGATGCTGCAGGTGCTTGATGTGGCTTGCATGTGTGTCAACCAGAACCCTCTTAAGAGACCAACCATCAAGGAAGTTGTCGATTGGCTGAAAAATGTAGGGACATCCCACCAACACCAAAATAAAGACTAGTGAGGAAAAACAAATTTCTTTGACACTTCCTAAGAAAGTATTTATATGTATACTTGCACATAAATATTTGGGTTTGTTATTGCAGACTTTCACAAAATCACTTGTGTAAATGATATTTTGCTCTACGGATCTATGAGGCAGCTATAGTCAAGCGGTTTGCTTGTTAATTTTGAGCCTCCCAGTACATAAGTATATATATAATATATATATATATAATATATATATATATATATCTAAGATTACAGCTCTGATGATGTTGCAAATCGAGGTGGTGTAATGAGAAAGTGGTCACACATGCATTTGTAAATCAGCAATTTTATAATTTCTAATGCTCAATATTTTTGATAATTATCTTACTTCAGATTCTGTGAAAATCTCTAATGACACCTGCTGCTGCTGCGTAGTTTCAAAAGGGCTTTTGTGAGACCTGTGAATTGAAACCATTCAGTTCTCCTGCTCAAATAAAGGAAAATCTAGAGGGGGTTTATCTATGCATAACACCAATTGTCTGAATCTGGACTACAAACTACAAATTATATGATTTTCCGGCGATGCATATGCTGATTATGTCTGTCATTTATGATTCAAAGTTCGAACCGAAATTTTCAACATGAATCTTTAATTGGTCTGGCAAGTTACTCTGTTCTTTTCCTTGTCTAGATAATCCAGTGAACTGCAATGTTTGCTGAGCTGTTTTTTATCCCTCTTTCATAATATATATGGATTAAATTAGAGCCTCAGTTTGGGGGAAAAACTCTAGGTCAAATATCACACATGCATTGCATGAAGATCACATGCACAAGGAACAGCAAGCTGCTTAGTGCTTAAGACTGATTTATTTATGGCACAATTGTCAACCTCATGAGGCAGACATCATGAAGAGTGTGCGGGAGGCAAAATATCAATCTGTTTAAACACTGACCTCTGGAGGTGTGAAAACACCACTCCAGCATAACCTGTGGCAAATGCTTGGTGAGTCATTAATTTTGGACAAAAAAATAAAAATAAAATCCTGATTTTGAAAGCATAATGTGATAAACCAGTTAATGCTTTACATTATTTAGATTCAATTTTTTTCTTGAACAGCACGGTAAGTTAAATTCATCCCCACCCAACTCACTTTTTTTTTTGCCAAAGTTAGAAAAGGTAGGAGGGTTTTCTCGTATCAAATCAATGTCATTAGAAAAGGTAGGAGTATTTTTCTCGTATCAAGTCAATGTCATTTTCCATTAAACTACACCCCCCGTTAGTCCCCACCCAACTCAATTAGCGAGATGCCATTTAAAAACATGGGACATTTTGGAAAAAGCAAAAGGAGAGAGAAAAATTTTAAAAGAAGCAAAAATGTACAAAAATGCCCTTATTTATTTTTAGATTTCCTAAGGAATCCAATACATTTGCATGCCTTTGATTTGAAAGTTGAGTGGTTTTTTTGTCTTTTTTGAAAAAATTTTGGCTTTTTTCAAAAATGAAAAAAAATTTATGTCTAAAACCTAAAAAACCTTAAAAAAGATAAAAACAGTTAGTCAAACTATCTCGCTTTACCGTCAGGGTAGGGTAAATTAGAAAAAAGAAAAGAAAAAAAAACAATTTATTTTTATTTTTTGGGGTTGAACATAGATCGGAATCTCAGACCAAAAAAAAACACATAGATCGGAATCTAAAAATAGGAAACTGAAGGACCGACATCTGAAAAAGGAAAGAAGAAACAGGACAGAAAATGAGTCCACCATAAACAGTGGACAGAGAGAGAGAGAGAGAGAGATGAAGCAGGCGGAGCTCACAGGGCTGCTCTGCGTGATATGGGCGGTGACTCTCCTCTATGGTGAGATGGTGGCCTTCTGGAGGCCCTCTCTCGGGTCTTGTTCATGGCCTCATCAGAGCAACAACGCTTCTTCTTCCATGGCTGACCGCGATTATGTCAAAGTGGCCGTCCTCACAGACCCACAGCTCATGGACAGAACCTCGCTTCCTCTTCCCCCAAAATCACTTGCTCTCGAATTGGCTCAGTTCTTCGCCGACTTGTTCATGCGCAGAGCCTTTCATCAATCTGTGCTTCCTCTGCAGCCCGATGTTATTTTCTTTTTAGGTGATTATTTCGATGGCGGTCCTTATCTTTCGGATGAAGAGTAAGTAAGGCACTGCAAATTTGTCTTCTTTTGTTTTTTCTTTTCAATTTCAAATAAAGTGGGGGTTTTTGCTGCTTCTATGCAATGCACTTGGTTTTTTTCAGTGTTTTAGTGTATTTTCTAGCTTCATCATGTGATTTAACGTGGAAATGAGCTCAGAATTGTTGGGTGTCCTATAGAAATTGTTACTTGGTTTGCTTTAGTTAGCCTCTTCTTCTTCTTCTTTTTTTTTTTTTTTTTTTTTAATTAAGTAAGGGGCTCTTCTTCTAATCTTAGATTGGTAGTAAACAAATGCAATGTATTTGCTATCTGCTGTAGAATGGCATTGACGTTTGTTGCTTGATTAGGTGGAAGGAATCTTTAAGTCGTCTCAAACATATTTTTTCCCTGAGTGCGCATGAAAGATATTCAAATATCCCAGTTTACTACCTTCCTGGAAACCATGACATTGGCTATGGAATTCTCCACTCTCGTAGGGCAGAGGTACTTTTGTTATGTTGCCATTAAATGATACCCTAAGTTTTTGGTCTAGAGCTATTCTAGTTATTTTGTTGTCTTGTGCACTTGTGTGCATGGATAAAAACATCTCCGTGTGTGTGTGTTTCTGTGTGCATGAGCAAATAAGTATTGAACACATACTGTTGAAAAGAAGATTTAGAAAGGGAGAAGAATATCACATATCCCTGATTGAACTGAGTAATGTGCATACTTTTATAGAGAAACCATACATGAAAAGATCAACAACTATTCCTAGAAATTAGCCCTCAAGTTTCGTATTGGCTCAATCAGTGCCCCTAGAAATCTGCTCAATCAGTCCTAGAGATCACCCCGAAAGATAAGCTAAGAAGGATGTTTGCAGTTTATACTAATGACACTCCCCTCAAGCTGGAGAGAAGATATCAGCAAAAAGATTTTAACCATGCTTTGGAAGGTCTTAGTAAAGATATTAGCTAACTGATTTTCATGTGGCATTGAGTCATGTAAACTATTTCACTTAGAACGGCGAGATCATGTGTCTGAGTGAATTCCTAAAAGTAAGATAAGGTTTTTGCAATCTACAGTCATGACACATGTATAGAAATGCATGTATATTTCAATGTATGTGTGTGTGAGTATGTTAAAGGAAATTCCATATGAAATGAGGAAACAGGTATGTTGAAATTTGACGAATGAGAAGGGAACCCTTGGAAATATTAGAACTGGATGAGTATGCTTGTGATTGAGTCGCATTTAGTAAGAGGTGGTCTTAGCATGTTATGAAAATGAAACTGTGTGCAATAATAACTTCACCTCTATCAAATTGTATCCTGCAAGTATATCCTGAATGTTCCATATTTGTTTTTATGCATGGTTTTCTGTTTCTGGCTCTGAGGAAGGTCTCATTTGTCAAGTATGTATGGAATTTAAGCTGTATTTTGGCTATCTGCATGTTTTTACGAAGTCTGGTTGATGACTTTTTGAGTTGTGCTTATTATGGTGTAATAAAATCTTGTCATCGACTAGATTTTTATTGACGCCCTTTCAGCAATTTTATCATCTTTTAATCATATTTACTGCTTTTTAATTAAATAGTTTCTTATATGGTTGTACCAGGCAATCAAACGATATGAAAAGGAATTTGGTAGCAGAAACTATCGATTTGCAGTTGGAAAAGTGGAGTTTATTGCCATTGACGCTCAAACTATTGATGGTATGCATGCAAACAACATTCTGTAAATCTCTGTGTGTGTATATATATATTTGCATTACCTTTCCTCTTTCCTGCATCAAATTGTCACGATTTACCTGCATAAAGTGTAATCTAGTGAAGCAAGATTGCTTGATATGGTAAGAGAAGCTGAGAAGGTAGCTTATGTGGGATGAGAGTGGATTGGTTGGAACTTGGAAGAAGAAAATGAGAGTAAAATAGGGAACCAATTAGAAGAACACACATACGATCTTTAGTTTTTAAGTTTTTATTTATTTATTTTTTTAGAAGAAACGAAATTTATTAAGCAAAAGAACACGGATAGTAGGGGCATATTTTAAATTTCCTATGTGCATAGGGTATATCAGGAGGTACTCTTGAAGAAGTTTTCTTGTTATACAGGCACAATAATTTTGGTCCTCTTATCTGTGTAAAAATGTAGTTTGTGCATACATCTGCGTCTGTCATTATGCTCTTAGAAACAACAAGTCAAATCATGCTTGATTTAGTTGAAATTTAAATCTCTAATAGGGAATTGGACTGAACAACTGCAGCTTATTTTCTGCATGGTGGCCACTGTAATTGCAATTGCATTTAGATGGGTGCATATTGAGTTTTACTACTGTCCATTTAAAACAATTAATCTTGTGTATGTATCATCTGCAGGAAATCCTCAAGGAATTCTGACTTCCTCTACTCATGATTTTATCAAGAATGTCTCCATGGGTATATGATATATGCTCATTGTATGTTGTTAACTTTGCACATCATTTATTGAACTAATTCATCTAATTATTTACATCGTTGTAGATGTTCAAGCATATCCAAGGGTTTTGTTGACCCATATTCCATTGTACCGACAAGATTGGACAGACTGTGGCCCCAATCGTAATTCAGAAATCGTCAACCAGGTACTGATTTGTTGCATTTTATTGGGGCAAGACTTAAGCAAAGTATATCTTTGTACGTATATTATTGGCATTATACTTTCTAGTGCATTTCACCATATTGTAATGGGTTTGTGGATGTTGAATTTTCTCTCAGTATATAAACTCACGAGGTTCTTTTAATTTGATTTTTTTAATTCCTTATTTGAAATGTTTAGCGGATTCTGCGCTCTGCTGATGGTCAAGAAGTAGTGTAAGCTTCTTCTTCTCTTGTTTTTTTTAAATTGATGTCATAAAACTAAATTTACTTGCAAGTTTGGTTGGTGTTTGACAATTATTACCATTGTACAGGTATCAGAATTACATTACAGAGGAATCATCAAAATACTTATTGGATTCAATTCAGCCGGTAATTTCTCTTTTCTCTCTGTGATGCATCTTGTCCATGAGATGGTACTTGTTTGTCCATTGTCCATTGCACCTTGGTTGTTCATTGTTTACAGGTACTTGTTTTATCTGGTCATGATCATGATCAGTGCCATGTGATCCATGAGTCAAAATATGGGCCTGTAGGGGAGGTAAGCACCCAATGTGTTCGCATTTATAACTCTTACCAGGGCTTGATATATTATTGATAATACCTTTCAGTACACTGTAGGGACAGTAAGTTGGCAGCAGGGAAACTTGTATCCGTCTTTCATGTTAGTGTCTACCAGTAATTATGTACCTTCAACTGCATCCAATGCTGAAGAGGCAATCTTAACTCAGCCGTGCTTTCTTCCTATGCAAACACACATTTACATATGGTAACTCTCCATATTGTTGTGTGTAAATGTATGCTAAGCTTTTCAGTTCGTTTTTGTTCCTACTTCTTATTGTCTTTTGTCAAATTTCTAGGTACCTCTCTCTATTTGCTTTGACCCTCCTTGCCCTCCTGCTTTGGCCATCCAGTGGTGTTAGTGTTGGGCATAATTTTAGTGATTTAATGGGGCTTGGAAAACAACTGATAAGTAGCATCAGAAGTAGAACAAAAGAGAAAAATGAAGATCTAAATTGTGAGTATGAGATGATTTGGGATGCAGAAGGATCAATGCATCTTGTCAAGAAAGCCTTGAGCACTCCTAGTGCACGTACAAGCGAGAAAAATTTAGTAGAAAGGTTTGTTTCTGTGCTACATTTGCATGCCCTGTTTCTATTTGAATGCGGCTGTGTAATTATATATATTGAGTCCCACATCAGTTGGGTGTTGATTCAGTGCGAGCTACATAAGCTATTATGGGTAGCCCCACAGTAGTCTTTTTGGAGTATTGTGTCCATGTAACAAGTGCGTTCTTAGGATGGTGACAAATGGTATTAGTGGGTCTTGAAAAGGACACAATGGTTGTGTGGTGGGTTGACATAGACTACATAAGTTATTATGGGAAGCTCCATTAGTTGCTTTACAATGTGCACTTCAATTCATTTTACAAGGGATCTATTTTACCCTCAATTAGACTTGGTAGTTATTTATATTACTGTTCTGTCCATTGATTTATTATTACATTTGCTTTACATTCTTTCATTATTTTGTAGCAGAGGCACTGCTGTGATGCGGCCCACTGCTAGAAAGAATAGTTCCCAGGAGATAGAGGTCACTGTGAATGCAGACACCGACACCGATGCTATGGCAAAATTACTGCCTAGAGCAAGCAGATCATGGACAAAGAGAGTGATCAAAAGATTGGTGCGGACATTTAGAATGGTCATAATCATCGCTGCTGTAAATGTACCTCTCTATGTGATGTTACTTTTCAAGGACTGGATTGACAAATGACATCCAATTTGCACATTCAGTGGGCTCTGCATAATACAAAAAAGGAATACCATGCATGTCAAAGTATCGCTCCCATCTGGAAGTTAATCAGGTGAATCTTTATCGCTTTGATCTGATGTCCATGATCTGATCCCATCATGCTTTTGTACTTTTGAGTGGTAAATGGAAGTGTTTCATTTATTGAGTGAAAGGGATGTAAACTAGATCAGGATCTTAGTTCACTTTATGTTATATAAAGAAACCTCATTCACTTTTACCAGCATGTCCTTTTGAAATTTGAACAGCTTTAGCAAATTTTGGCTTAGACAAAGTTCAAACAGAAATGTAATAACAACAGAACCTCAATTGTACTGGTAGAAAGGAAAATAAGTAAATTACCAGATGCTAGTTATTGGAGAAAATAATATGATTATTGTTATTTTTCCTCTAAATCCAATTGATGGGGTCCGAGGAATTTTAAAACCGTGACGATGGAATCTGAACAAATAAGGGCAAGATTATTTACACTGGGGGTTAGTTTAAATAGGATTACTGATCAAGTCCAATTACATAATCGAGGAAGCCTGCATTATCTTGAAAACATGATTGGTAGTTGAAGATTCAGATAGTATGGCAGAACAGGAAAATCATTGTTTAGACTCGCTACATATATTGTCAGGCATTATAAAGAGCACACTCATTGCAAATGCGGGTTAGGCCAATTGACCAAGGCAATGTGCCCGTCCTCGTACACCTGCATCGCCATATTTTGGCTTCTAGAGTGGAAGTGGAAGGACATACTCATGTATTGATTGACTCTACATACTTTCCTCAACTTGACAGCATATCTAATTGTATCTTATGGCGAGTGGGGTCACAAGCATGGAATGAATGTGGAACTTGCTGTTTCTAGTGGATTTTCATTCCTTGTGTGTTAAGAGTGGGGTGCAAGAATGGATGTAGAACTTACTGCTTATGGTAGTGGATTTCATACCTTGTGTTTAGAGTCACAGAATCTCTCCTAATGCAGACAATTACAAAGTTGTAATTGAGAGTGTTGAGTCAACTTATCTAATTAAGGTCACATTTTAATTTTAAACACAACCATTGCTCAACCCACAATTACAAATTCTTATCTTTTCTGGCCAATGCATCATTTCAAGCTTGGCAACTAGAAATTATTGCATACTACATAGCAAGTGGTCTATCAGCAGCATCCCCTGCAAACCCATGATATTACAAGCTTTATATATCCCCCCACATTGAGAAGAAGGGTGAAAACATTTTCTCCCACTCAAAAGAAATGAGGGGAAAAGGAAAAACGGAGAAGAAGAAAAAAAAAAAAAAGGCAAAGAGAAAAAGCATACACCAGTGGTAGTAGTTGTAATAATATTGACTCTTGAAGCAACATGAGCCAATCAAACAGCCTTTGAGATACAGAGACTCCTCCATGTCAGCTTACATCAGTGTCCATGCTTGAAAGATCCAGCTAGTTAAAAAGCAAGAGTGTGGGCATAAACCTCTTCTGTGCTCCAAAAACCTAATTGGGTTGGTCCCAAATCAGGTAAAAAAATAGAGTTGGCACTCTAGAGCAAGTAGAAGATAACCCACACAACAGTTAAAACCAACCAGACCAGCAGACACGGGCATCCTTTCATGGAGTAGGGTAGTGTAGGTATAAGGAAAAAAGTTAAAAGCAAGAGACCAGGTGGTGAGGTTGAGTGAGTAATTCTTGTATGAACCCGTCATATATATGATATTCCTCTCACAATATATGTATGCGAGTGTCATCTCGTATGCATATTGTTCTGAGAAGAAAGTCGCATATGACAGACTCAGACAATTAGTTTCGTGGAATATGAAGGTAAGTAGAGAAGGTTGCTAGCTAGTCATCTCCTTGAATGTACCAGCAAAGGAGCATGGTGGCGCAGCGGCGCAAGATGTAAATACGAGCACGTTGCTCCTTCACCAAGGCAGCACATTTCTGGCTAAACCCATGCCGGCTTCGCTTTGCATGAGCCTTGGCTGTGACTGATGATGATCCACCCTTGTTGCATTGCACTTGAACCATATTCATGGCTGATGGCTGGTAGCTGATGATGTTGAAAAAGAAAAAGAAAAAGAAAAGAAAAAAAAAAGATCAAAAAAAGAAGACACAGCTCAGGAGAGCTAAGAGGGAGTTGTGTAGGTTAAGGAGGGTTGAAGTATATATACAATTTGAAAATGCATGGGGTTGGCTGAAGTTTGAAGGAAGGGAGTGAACATGGTCAGGCTCGGAAACTGAGGGATATGCAGCCTCAGCAGCATAGTTTCCTATGCAAGAAGGGGGAGTGAACGTGGGATTCAAAGTAATATAAAATTAGGGAAGGGACTTGTTTATAAATTTCAGCAGAGTAACGTAGGTTGGTTGGAGTGTGGAGTTGAAGTGAGAGGTTGATTAGAAAAGTGGCAAAGGTGTGGCATGAAAACTTGAAAACAGGAGGGCTGCTTAATCAAGACAAGGCAAGGGGATGTGGTATTGGGAACCAGAGACCGGCAATCTGACCTCAATTCTGAGGTACGTTGGTTTGGTTGGATTCTAGCATTCTCATCTACCGTATTAGTCGTCACACATCCCAATATCCCAATAAACTATGAACATATGTCTAACGATATGATATTTACACATATGTTTTTAAAAGATAAAAATACATCTGCAACATGACTTATCACAATTAGATATCGAACTCATTAGAAATATACATTGTCTTCGCATTCATGTCAGTCGAACATGAGACATTATCGAACCAAGTGGAGACAACTACTAGCAAAGCCTGATTGGTTGATTAATTTAGCTCAATTGAAATGAGATTAGGAACTAATTATACAATCTTAGGTGAAACAAGCTTAATTAATAGCTAGCTGTATAGGTTGAAGCTAGCTGTACATGATCCTATTCAGTCATGTGTTTACAGTGCTGCCAATTGCATATCTACCTATATAACAAATCTTAGAGGATGTGATACGTGGGCTGCTGGCTAGTAAATATATATGGAGGCTTCATGGACTTTTCAATTAAATAAGGGGTCAACTAATTTTCGAATCGAATATTTTACAATCATTTAATTCACTTGAAGTGGCAAATCTTACCTTAGGTGAATTTCAGATTTGGTGTCCAGATCCATATTCTCTCCAAATATCACATTGGGGTTAGCTGGCCAATGCAGACAACCCCAATCTCAATAGATATGTAAGGCTGTCCAACGATCTAGTAAATATATGATGCTAATTAGCATGATTTAAGTCTAAATTTCTTTTTAATGGTTCAAAACGATGTGTATATAGAGTAATTCTTTATTGTCATATAGACTGTTAGTTAAGTATGCAATGTTTGAATTTGCAATATTCATATGATCTGATCAACATCACATGTCATACTTTTAACTAGACTAAACCACAACTGACCATCAACATAACATATCATACTTTTAGCCAGACCAAACCAAAGCCGGCCCTTTATATTTGGCTTGAAGGGTTAGTTTCAAAACTAGAGAAGGAACCATGTGACTGGTTTCATAATCTAACTTCATTTGAATCAAATCTAAAGGGCTTCAAGTTGGTTCATAAATTTGTTGAAAATCGAACTTCGATTTTATAGAGTTCCGGCAAATATGGAGGGGGAACTGAATAGTGCTTGCTCTTTTACTGATAGCCTGAGTACCAAATTCGATGGAACATGAAGAAGATCCAAAGAGGGTTTGATTGTTCCTTCGAGGAACATCCCTTCTTAACTTGTGAAGGGCCATGGAAAATATTATATCCTCATTCAATGTATATCTTTAAGTAGTAGAGTACATTACAAGTAGCCATCATCCCCAGCCTGTTAACTTAATCTTGTACCAGGACAAAAATAGTATGATTAACTAATTATAATTGTTACTTAAGCACCGTTGTTAATGAGATTGGTTTTTCGTATTCTACTAGTACAAAGTTGTGTACTCTTCAAACAAAATAATCATTGACCTGATTTGTAGCACCTTGTATTTGCTACAAGGTGGATGTCTTAATAGGCTAGATTTGTTCCTACTAGAGTAGATGGTTAGACAATCTAAAATGTAAGGTAATTTTATCGTAAGAAATGCTATGGATATTCTAAAATGCATGTATTCTGATACCCTAAATACTACTATTCATCGTTTACGTGCACGTGAGTGATTATCAATTGTTTTTAAATGTGAATCTCATTGGTTAAATAGAGTCTCACACTAACTAATAGTTTGGATGCGGATGACTCTCTCTTAATTTGCAAATCTTTTCTGTCATTTGTAAAACAAACGTAAGATAAGCACCATTGTTGAAAATGCGAAAATCAACGGCGTGACAGAATTCGCCTTAATTGAGCTCAATTTCGACGAAAGATTTGACAGCAAACCTGGTTCGTAGCCCAATATGCTAAGCCCAAAAAATAGCAAAAGTGTAGATCCCGTAGTCCTCTCAGCTAAAGCCCATTAGCCCAAAGTAAGACTGCTAATGGCCAATGGGTTTGGTTTTATGTTGAATTCTCACCTTTTTTTTTTTTTTTTTTTTGGGGTGGAATCTATCATGATCATTGTTGATTATATCACACAATCCGTACCCTAATAAGGAAAAACAAACCTGTTAAGATGCAAGGGTTAAAAATGTGTCCGAAAATCATACGGAGTTTTTATCATAGATTTTTTCATATTTCACTTGATGCATTAAACGATCGTGATTAGATATACGTAAACAGAACTACTAATCATCTTGCAAATTCACAGTAGTTTCATGGACAATTCGTGTCATCTTCATCCGAGAAGAGGGCATGTGCATATTTAATCTGAACCTACATTATTAGATAAAATCCTGAATAACCACATGTTATGTCATTTTTTTGAAGTTAGTAAAGAGGAGAATAAGAAAAGAGGAGAAGTTTTTGTGTATGATAGAGAAAGTGAATCTGGTCACGTGTGTTCGTAACACTCTGGTTTTTATTTATTTTTTTAGGTGAAGATGAAATGGTCACATGCAAGTTTTAAATGCTCTTTTCAGGTGGAACAAAAGAATATTATGCATATGCAGCATAGGTATAGAATACATTAATTATTGGCTAAAAACAATATGTGAATGGAAATGATTAACAACAAATACATCAGATGGTCGGGGGAAGGCATTCAATTGGGTTTTTTCTTTTGTGCATGCCAGTGCCACACAGAAGAGAATGACAAATAGTGTGTTTGCTTGTTGATGATAGATTGGATAATGTCTGAACCTAACAAAACATGAAAGCCTCCATCAATGGCATGATAAAACAGAGTCCAAAAACAAATTGGAAGTTGGAACACACCTAATAACACAGGTGGTCAATGATCATGCATAACCCTAATGCAATAATTTATTACTTTAGAGTTTAGACTAACAATCAATACTAGGTGTCATCAAGATGAGAGATGGTAGGTGAGGAAAAAGTCCTCCCAACTGTCCTCTTTTCCTGTATGAAGGTGGGTTTCTTATTTTACGAATTAATGATAGCTAAGCATGGTTGGAAAGTCTATGCAGGGCCTTCAAAAGTATATTTCCTTTTGCAGAACGGAGGCTGGTGTCTAACTGTCCATTTTTGCCCCATCCAATAATATTATGGTGAATAGTTGTTTCAAAGTTGCAGTAAAAAGTTAACAAGGTTTAGTCCAATCACGGGAGATTTTGAAAAAACACAAAGGAGAGATAAATTTTATAAAAGAAGTCAAAATGGACAAAATTGCCCTTATTTATTTTTGGATTTTCTAAGGAATCCTTTACATTTGCATGTCTTTGATTTGAAAGTTAAGAGGTTTTTCTGTCTTTTTTGATAAAGTTTTGGCTTTTTCCAAAAGTGAAAGTTTTTTTGTGGCTAAAACCTAAATTTACTATCATTATTTTATTAGTTCTTGAACTTCAACCCGATTTGTATTTGAGTCTTTTAATTTTCAAAATGGTTCCCGTGGTCCTTTAACTTCACTTTCATTAGGACAAATGGTCATGTCGTCAATTCTGTTAACTTTTTATGCTTAATGTAGGGGCAAAATGGTATTTTTATATTTTAAAAAAAAAAGAAAAAAAAATCATATCTTTAAAATAACAATAAAAGAAAATCATATAAAAAACCAACAAAAAAAAAATCAAGTTTGGGAGGAGTAGAAATCGGGATAGAGGGGGGAGAGAGAGAGTTTAATTTTAGTTTTTTAGTTTTTTATAATTTTTTATTCATATTTTA